AGCAACAATTTCTAACCCGCGGCCCAACTCGCACGGCTCGGCCCACAACGGCGCGATGCGCACGCAGCGTGGCCCACGCGCGGGCGTGGCCCAGCCGGATGATGGCCCGCAGCGGGAATGACCTGCGCGCGTCGGTAAAAATGCAGAAACGCCCCCGTACTCCTTTGTATTCCCCACGAGCTCTAAGGCACTATTCCACTAGTCTACGGTTTTACGGTTACGCCCTGGAAACATTCTGTCTTTACCTTAGCGACACCCCCACGGCGCCTGCGCGCGCACTGGCGCGGCGGCGCTGGCACCGACGACCTACGCCGGCCACAGCAGGCCTTCCCCTCCCCAACAACCGAGCTGATCCTTACCTAGGAGCGAACGTGAAATGCCGGGTGAAGAAAACGCAAGCTGAGCTGTAGTAGCACGGTCTAACCACGGCGGCGGAGGTCCTACAATTACGGCGGTGCCGTTCCGGTGAACGTCAGCAAGGCCGAGGCAAAATGGGTAGCTAGTGAGCTCCAGTGACTCACCGTGGAACCCTTCGAGTTGATGATTCGTTCGGAGATGGCCCGAGCCGAGCTGGCCGCGTGCGCGTGAGGTGGTGCGGTGGCGCACGGCGATGGCACGGCCGTGTTAGGGAAAGATGGGCTACGGTAGCGTCACAGCAGAGGTGCGCACGGTACTTAGGAGGGGAAGACGAGGCCGGTGGTGCAAGGAATCGCTCCGGGGTGCTCGGGATGGGTGGCTTGCCGACGGTGCGTGTCCGTTAGGTCTTATGGACCCGGCGGAGCGACGATTTCAAATTGAGGCTCTATGCAACGGTACACGCAGCGAGGTGGGGACGGTTGCGCGGCCAGCTACCCAACAGAGCCGAGGGTGCGACGAATTGGAGTATAGTGCTACGGTCACGACGAATCGAAGGAAGGGGTCCCGCCGGTCATGGCAACAACGGAGACAGGGGGTTCTGGCACGGCATGGCTCGACACAGTCGTGGCCGTCAACGCAAAGTACACGTGCACATAACGACATGGAACAGCGAGGCGTACTCCAGGCGGCTATCCGCACGGCCGAACCCGCAAGCCTATGAAGCTCGGTGATGCGCCCCAGAGGACGGCACCGGACAAAGGAAGCACTAGCGCAACGTGACGCCGAAGTGATGGTGGAGCATGCGGCCATCCCCTGCGCGTGTAGCCGTGGCGAGTCAACGGGACCAGTGCCGGGCGCGGCGATGGGTGGCATTTAGCGCGGCCGGAGTACCGCGCGATGCGACGGCGAGGCAGAGCCGCTAGAGCCCGGACGTAGTGCGCTTGCGCGCGTGCGTGTGAGTGCTGGGCAGATACATCCGCCCACAGCAGCAGCGCGGGACCCGGCGCACATTCGGTCAGAGCAGGGCAGGACGCGGGCGACGTCTCGGACGCAGCGTGTTAGCCACGGCGATGTGAACCGCGCGCCAGCGCGTGGCAGCAGGCAGCCAAGGCAGCAGCGCCAGGACCAAGCGCATGACGTGCAAGCATAGGACGGCGGTGAGGACGCGACCGGCGCTTTGGCGAGCGCTGGGTGAACCAGCAGCGACGCCAAGCCGAGCAACAGTGGTGACCACGGTCCGCGCGGGCTTTGTCCGAAATAGGTGACGTGCACGGTTTTTAAAGCGATCTTAAAACCCCTACCCGAAGGTCCAAACGTCAAACTACTTCTTCCATACTCCAGTGGGTACGCAGAGCTATCGACCTAAGCCGCGACACCACGCCACTTCTTAAGCCGATCTCTCTACAAAAATTACCAAAAGTGGCTTCATCGACCCACTTTTAAACTTACGCGGAATGACGTAATTCCGAACGGTTTCACGTTGAATTCCAATTCCGACCTACTGGATGTACTAGCTAGCTATCCTCGTCCTCGACCGCACATATTCCATTGTCGACTACGAAGCACGTACTACAAACTTTATTGAAGTTCGCATAAACGTTCTACATCATTTTTATTCGATAAAAATTCGATTAAAATACTAAACGATATCAAGCGACATGAAATGAAACGGTTTTTCCTTGTTTCGGATAAGCGTTTCAAGTACCGTACATTGATTTATACTTTATGTTACACACAATTGCACATAAGTATGATGCTCATGCAGCGTTTTAGCAAAAACTGTATAATGTAACACCGAGGGTGGTACACTCCTTCGGGGATTTTAGTGCATCAATCAGCCTAAAAAGGGCGTACCCAGTGCAGAGAGCTCCCGCTCTGTGCGGGGTCTGAGGAAGGGTGTTAGTGGCAAGCCTTACCCTCACCTGTGTAATGCGAGGAGACCGCGACTCAAATCCGGGACCTTCCGGTCACAGGCGGTAAGACTCTACCGCTTGCACCAGGCCCGCCCTTCGCATCAATCAGCCTATATCCAGAAAATATTAGAGAAATTCAATATAGATAAATCATATCCTAATAAAACTCTGATGGTTGTCCGTTCCTTAGAAATAGGGAAAGATCTATTTAGACCACGGGATATTGGGGGAAAGATGTTGGGACCAGAAATCCCATATCTCAGTGTCATTGGCGCACTTATGTATCTTTCAAATTGCACTAGGCCTGATATCGTATTTGCAGTGAACTTACTGGCTAGGCATAGTGCGGACCCAACTCGTCGTCATTGGACGAGAGCGAAGTGTATCCTCGGATACCTTAATGGCACAAATGATCTTGGTTTATTCTTCAAAAAAATCATGATCCCAGTATGATTGGTTATACTGATGCTGGTTACTTATCTGATTCTCATAACGAAAAATCCCAAACATGATTTGTATTCCTACATGGAGGTACAGCTATTTCAGAAAAGTCTTCTAAGCAGACTCTGACAGCGACCTCTACTAATCATTCTAAAATTATTGCTCTATACGAGGCATCACGAGAATGTGTATGGCTTCACGGAATGATTAACTACATACAACAGTCATGTGGTATTGGTTTAATTGAATCACCTACAATTATCTATGAAGATAATTCCGCTTGTGTTACACAGATGCAAACATGTTACATAAAGAGCAATATCACTAAGCCTATTATTCCTAAACTATTTTATCCCCATGAATTACAAGAAAGCGGAGAAATAAACATCTTGCAAATCAAGCCATGTGATAATCTCGCTAACCTATTTACTAAGTCTTTACCAACTTTTGTATTTTAAAAATTGGTACATGGAATTGGTATGCGGCGACTTCGAGATTTGCCAGAATCAGGGGAAGATATCTCCTAAATGTTAACCTGTAACAGCATGATATTATACTCTTTTCTTTCACAAGTTTTACTTACAAGGTTTCTTGTTAAAGTTTTTAATGAGGTAATATTAACATAAACATGTGTCATATTTCCTATTTTTTCCACTGGGGTTTTTGTAGGAAATATCAAAGACACGTATTGCCCTCACAACTCATCCATGGTTTTTCCCTGAAAAGGTTTTTCATGTGAGTTATCCAAGAGGCAATACCAATAATATGTCGTCATATTTTTTCCTAATTTTTCCACTGGATTTTTACAGGAGTTTTAGCGACATATCACTTTATATTGCTCCTCATATTTTTCCTGAAATGGTTTTTTGGGAGTAATCTATATGTTGTATCTCTAATATTTTTCCCTACTGGAGTTCTTAATGAAATACCAATGACATAGTGATTTATTTAAATCACTCATATATGTTATTTTCTCCTTATTTTCCTATAAGGTTTAAAGGAGTTTTTATAGCATATCTATACATACATATTCCTCAGATTTTTTCCACAGGGTTTTTCGAGGAATCCAAACTATAGCTGTATTGATCTCAAGAAGGATTCGATCAAGGGGGAGTGTTGTGAATCAACGCCTGCCTCTTCACTGGTGAACAGGCGTCTCCTCACCGTGTGATCTCATCCACAAGAAAAGGATATGCAGTTAGAGAGAGAGTTAGTAGTTAACGTTTTAACGGTAGGATGCCACCAAAGGGGCATGTTCTTTGGGCAGTCGACTGTTCCTATGAACATTTGCCTCTCCGTGTAAACAGACACATTTTCACTCTGTATATATATCTAAAAGATCAATGAAAGCAACGGTTGTTCTCAAAATCTCATTTCATTTACATTCACCTTCAACAACGGTGACGTGGCCGTGCAGCCCCTTCCGGTGGCGCCGCCCGCCGTCGTCGTCGTGCGAGTTCTGGTGCGGACGACACTGGGTGCGTCAGGCGGTACACCATCACCGACGAGCGCAGCACCGGGAAGCATGGGTGCAGGATCGTCGACGCTACCACCGGGCCTGCGGGGTGGCGCTAGGGGAGGACGTGCTCTCCCTAGTGGTGGAGCCTCACGCCGACCACTCGCTCGTCATGGGGCTTGGTGCTCGTGCACGGTCTCATGAACCACACCATGTGAAGCCAAGCGACCAGGCTCTGTTAGCCGAGGCGACTCATGCCAGTGATGTACTCGGCACTCCTGCCTGAGTTGCTGGCCGACACGGGTCATGGCAGTTATGTACTGCTGCCGGAGTTGTACGGCACGGCACGGCTCTATTCGCCGCAGCGAAAGCGAACCACGCGGGCGGGATCCCAGCAGAGCAGGCTGACAAAGCAACAGTATTTGCCAATTTGCCATGATCCAACGAACTGCACTTGCTATCGAAATAAATTACTGAAGCTCAGGCTACATTCAGACACAGCAGACACAGCAGCCTGTTCGTTTGGCTGTGGCTTATCGTAAACGATCGTAAATTTCCATCCGAAACAGTATTTTTCTCTCATACAAACCAGCCAGCAGTACTCTTCACGAACCAGCAACGAAACGAACCAGCCAATCGAAGAGGCTGAGGCTCGACGGGACGGCTGGCCAAGCTGATCGAGTCCGTCACTATTTGCTTATAGAAATGAAACCCGAATGAATATAGGTTTCCAGCAAATTTAACTGGAAACCACCTATACAAAAGGCTATTCTTGTTACCACTATCTTCTCGGCTGCTTCTGTATGTACAATTCATCTAAAGCGTTATTTAGGCTACATAAAGTAGCTCAGCGATGTCTTCTGCCTCGACCCGCCTTCTCCGTAGAGGTCGTTCCATTGGACGAGCTCATTCATATTGTTTGAATCCGATGATATACTCGCACAAACCTAAACACAAGGCCAGTCATGTTAGCAACACATTCTGATCATGAGCAGAGATTATAAGACAAAATAAATGATAGTATAAGGTAGTGCAAGTGGCCGTAACATTTTACCTGCTCATGTGCGTGCTTGAAATCACTAAACTTTAGGGAGCGAACGTCGCCGCTACAACACTGAGGTGGGGCTGGCCTATTTTCTGCTTCAGCTAAGGTTCTCTCCTGCATTGCACATAATAATCAGTTAGGTGTGTTTAAGTTAGCATTAAACAAATTAGGCAGCAAATCAAACTGAATATACATAAAATAATGTATGCCACGTCAAAGCTTCTAGCACAGAAAATTTCATCCTTATAACATTGCTTATAATAATGTTGTAGACAGCAAGAAAACAGATAGGGAAGTGTTCCAAGAATATCAGCTGACCTTCTTCTCTCTTTCAAGAATTTCCCTTATGGGGCAATGTGCTGCAGTTATACACAGGTTCTGCAAAATAGTTGTTGCCATCAACACAAAGAAGCGAAATTCAGAAAGAGGAAATAGGATAAGAAAGAAATATCTTAATAGAATACCTTCAGATCACTGCCTGAATACCCATCTGTCAGGTTTGCTAGTGCCTCCAGATCTACATCATCTGCCAAATCTTCTTTTGCTAGTATTACACTAAGAATCTTCTTTCTGTTGGGTGCATCTGGCAAGTTAACCATCAACCTAAGGAGAAGTTGTAGCCGGGTTATTTATTACCATGTCACAATTGGCAGAAAAGTAGCATAAACACAGAATGCAATTTACCTCCTGGGGAGCCTCCTGACAACAGCCTCGTCAAGATCAAATGGCCTATTAGTGGCAGCAAGTACCAAAACGCGTTCTTTGTCTTTTGTCCTAAGACCATCCCAGTTCACCATAAACTCGTTTTTCATCTTACGCATGGCCTCATGTTCCCCTGGATTCTCACGTCTACCCAGCATGCCATCAACCTAATATACAGTACACAAATCAATGAGTAAGCTAAAACAGTGATACAATGAACTTATCATGTCATAGGCGATTAAGAAATTCATCACTAACCTCATCCACAAAAATAACACTAGGAGATATTTTGCTTGCAAGTGAAAAAACAGCTTTCACATATTTTTCTCCCTCTCCAAACCACTGTTACAGTTACAGGGTTGAAATCAGCAAAGTAAAAAGTACTCCAAAATGAGAACTGGATGAGTATAACATTACACAAGTACCTTCGAAGCAATGCTTGACATTGATATGTTGATAAAATTAGCACCAGCCTCTGTCGCAACAGCTTTGGCAAGCATGGTCTTACCAGTGCCAGGTGGACCAAAAAGCAATATCCCTTTGCATGGCTGGGGCAAATAGATGATCAGAACTACGATTGCACACAGGTATGAGTCGGGAAAAGAAACATTACATTAAATGTAACAAAAAAATACCACTAGGTAACATTCAGCATCCTAACTTTATAGCAATTCCGTTGTTTCGATTTAATTCAAGAATACAAGATAAGAAACACACAGAAGAATGATTTTGGTAAGGAAAGCCTCAACAATACCCCAAAAAAAATCACAAGGGGGGTGTCATTGACAAAGTCAAAGGAAAGAAAACTGAACTCCAGGAAACAGAAAGTAATGGAGTTATTAGTGGGGAAAATTAGCAAACCACCAATCTAATGCTAGATCTGTGTGTCCGCAATCCACACCTTATGGATGACTAAACATACAGATACATTGGGCTTTCAAGAAGGGTCGCAGTTCAAACAATAGTTTCACAAAAAAAAAATGAAGTTTAGAGAATGGCATGTACCTTCATAAGTTGTCCTTTGGAGAATAACTCAGGCCTTTGCAAAGGAAGCATAACTAACTCCTTCAATGTTTCCTTGACATTTTCTAATGCTCCAATATCCTCAAAGGTAACACCAATCTCATCTGGAGGGATGACGTCCGTAAGAAGACGTTTTTCAAATTCATTCTCCGTGACGACATCCTAACAATGACAAAGAGAATGTAAGACAAAGGCAACAATATAAAGTTATTTTATCATGGTAAAAGCAGATAATGAGAACAAATTTATTTTGTTGACACTCAGTGTAGCACTATGTATTCTTTATAAATAAAAGGACAATTATAGCGTGCAGTCATAATAACATGAGGCTATCTTAATAATTCGAGAAAACAGGTCACCTTGAATGATTTCTTTGTGCTCTTCTTCTTAGGGTCACTTTGGATACTTTCCAACAAATCAACTCCATGCTTAAGGCTGCAGTTTAGCAAGCATCAGCAAAGCAGTCACCAGATAAAACTGGGAAACAGAGTTTCCCACAACAATACCAAGTTACAAACCAAGAAAGTTTAGATACAATACCTTTCACCGGAAAGGACAACTCTGGCATCCTTTCCAGGAGTTTGAATAGGGCGATCCTTGAGTTGATAACTCAAAGCATAACCAACTATTTTATCAACACCTGAAAACACAACTAGCAGACTAAAGCTACAGAGACTAAATTATATCAAATCAACGAAGAAAGCAGGAGTTCTACTTACATTCGCTTGTCAGACTCAGATTACGATCTTTGACACAAACCACTGATTCTAAATCAGTACATTCCATACCATGGCGGGTTAGAAACTGCATCCAGCAGCAGAAATATATTAGCGAAGTCTTTATCGCAACACAAGAACAGAAACGGCAGTAGCATGAAGTAAAAAGCCCATGCAGTATATGACTAATATATATAAACAACTCCAGAGTCCCAGATAGGTTTGAATATTCCCCAGAACTGTATTAAGCCCATACAGAAATCAGTCAATACAGTGCTTTTATACCGTCCCAACCCTGTATATTAAGGACGTTGACTAAAAGAACAGCAGACCTAACCCCATTATGTCTATAGATTTGCAACAAGCATGACACACAGCAAAGGGATGTGCAGCCAAACAATTACTTTGACTATAAAATGAGAATATTAGCACTAGTGAGGTTTTAATGAAAAAGAAAAATTAAGCATTACATGTTACACCGATTATTGAATTCGGAAGGCTAACAGACCAGGCACCAGACTACCAGAGGAAACAAACACAAATAAGTTTATTATAAATAATAAAACATAAAGGGCTATCTTCACGACACACTTACAGATTGCATTTTCAAAACATTAGCCTTTGCCTTAAGAATTTCAATGTCACGATCCAATAGCTGTTTCCACTGGGAGAGTTCTTTTTCATCCTGTAACATATTTTAAGAGTTAAAACTTGCAAAAGAAAATTCCCAGATATATATATATTATATACACTCTTGAGAACTAACACAAATGACAGACCTGAGGTGGTTCAATTGTCACTTTATTTGGGAAAAGTTTAGTTATATGCTTTGACATCTTGAGTGCTTCTTTATTTTTTTCACTCACCCGTCCAAAGCTATCCTGCATCGAGAATACAACAGATTGTAAAATACAGCATAATAATTGTAAGGGTGCACTACAATCAAACATGTAATTTGGTAACCAGATAGCTCAATCAAACAATGGAAGATGGAAACAAGTAAACACAAAAAATGAAAGCACCATTTCCATCATAGTAGGTTGATACTGAGTGACTTGAACAGTACTCCCATCCATTCCAAATTATAAGTCGTTTTAACTTTTCTAATAAGCTTTTGCTATGCACCTAATTAAACGCTATGTCTAGATACTTAGCAAAAGCTATGTATCTAGAAAAAACCAAAACGACTAATAATCTGGAATGGAGGGAGTAAATTGCAATAGGTAGGAAACATTAACCCTCTATTATCCTTATCTTCTAATGTAACAATGCAGCACATGGTAAATTGGAAATATTAACCCTCCATCTCACATCATCCATCTCATCATATCATAGTCCACAAACTAGCGGGAGCCAGCTCACAAAAGTCTCGAGAACTTTTATACAAATGAATCACGGAATAACATAGTAGTATTTAAGGTAAGCAAATTCAATTTGAAAGGTAAGTAGAATCAACTATTAACTGCACCTGGAATGCAAGGTCAAGTATTGCTGCTTGGCTGTATGGGAACTTGAGCCAAGGAGACCCATTGTTCGACTGCAGATAATACAATTAAATAGACTTTGGTTATACAAGAAGAGGTGAACGATTAGAGATTTAGAGCTGAGCGTAAATTCTCCTCAGATGCAGTACCTTATCTTTCCGAGCATCTGTCTGAATCTGGGACCCAACAATAAAAACTCCAGCTGGGAAACTTTCAAGCTTATTCTTTAGACCATGGTAGGTGTAATTATTTCCACATATTTTCTCAACATCCTTCAGAAATAGGATTACAGGCTCATGTTGACTTTCTTCAGAGGCAAACTGCGAAGATAACCCAATGAGTAAATTAATATAAAAGAAAACAAGATATCGATACAACCAAGTGCAGACTGCAGAAATCCCATCACCTCAAACACAACATCAAATGAATGTTTGGCTCTATCTTCCCATCCTGGACCATCGAGGCATAGAGAATCAACTGGCAGATAACAATGAATATACAAAGTGAGTTACAAAGTTACAAAATGACAACATGCAGCATAAATTTCTGATCTAGTCATAATGGTTTAAAGATATAGAAATACAAGAGAGCATGCGAAACATACCAGAACAGAATAGGCCATGATCAAGCTCACAATTGCCTCCAAGATCAATGCCCCCAGGGATCTGTTTATCAAATCTGACTCCAACTTTTGAGGATCCATTTTCCGCAAAAGGAAGCCTCACTTCACCCTGTGAACCATAATCAGGAGCTCTGCAGATTGAAAAAGGGATAATAAGCCTAGACATAAGTAAATTATTTACACATGTAACTGAGCGAAGCTCAGTTATAAGGTGGCACTTGTCAGACTAACAAGCATGAACTCAACATAGACGAGCACATGGTCTTTGTTCAATCGGGAAAACTATACAACCACAGATGGAAGTACACAACTCAAGTGCCAAATATCAATTCAGCACCAAACCAGATACCATTTGCACAAAATAGTGTTGAAGATGGTTACAGTGAATATAAGTTAGCCTGTACAAATGATGATACCTAGTTGACCTTGAATGATACTGTATGAATCCCCCGAGCCACAAATGATTGATGTTTTGGATCAAACTCATGAAACTTTGACCATCACTAACTTTTTTAAATATTTAGTTTGGAAACATGGCGCCTTAAAAATTACTTTCATAATCTAACGAAGCAAGCGGGTACATCAGAGAACCAATCATAACAATGCAACTCACAAACATACCTCGGTCCCTCGAGCATAAACCCTGATGATCGAGGAGGACCAATGTACCTCACCCTATCACCTGAACAAACCATGAGCAGGATTAGTACAGCCTGGAGTGAACAATGGTCTATATCTGATCGCAGGTGGTTTCATTATCACCATGAACATAGTGGAAAAATACTGCAATTTCCTGACAACTTTCTACAATGTAGATGAAGGTAGCGTACTCAGTTTCACAACAAAACAGCATTAAAAATTAGGCAAGGCAAACTATGTAGATGATCTACCTTTTTTGTATGGTTCTGATTCCTTTGACTTTGAAGGCTGTCCCTGAAACAAAGATATAATCAAGCCCAAAATTAAACTGGAGCGATACCAGAAACAAACATAGAAAAGGATATTTCTATCCCTTTTTCTTTTATAATTATTTTTTTCTCTTTCCTTCTTAGTAAACAATGTTATCAGATTTTGTCAATGTAATTCCTAGATTATTTGATTTGTGAAAAAAAGGCATTACACATTATTGCTTCTTCCAAGCTTTTTGCACTAGAACTTTTTCCACCACATACAAGTATACAACAAAATCAATTTACATCGTAACATATATATATTAGGCAGGCATCAAGATACGAAATTACTTAGTGAAAAGCTAATGCTACAGATTTTTTATGTGCTTGCTAATAGAAGAAATGCTGCAGAACCTTACTGCAATTTTGAGATGCAGATTACTTGGAGAGCCAAGATTCTAATAGGAAGTGAAACATATCATGATTGCAATAAATAATAGCAGCATTACAAAATATAATGTCAAAAGATCACAGTATCAGGAGAACTAGGGGCATGTTTTGGTTCTTCTTCTATGGCAATGTTAATGGGTAAGAAATTAAATAAGTAACCTTGCCCAACATTTGTTTCATGCATTTGTTCAGAGCAAAATGGCTCTCCTTCCCTAGCAAGGATTTCCTTTACCACTACAAGGTTAGGCGAAAAAACAAGCATGCCCTTGGCTGTGATGCAACATTAACTATCGCACAATAGTATCAGTACTAAGCCAAAATAACAACGTTAAGAAGCTTACACCAGACAGCAGTGAATAATCTATGACAAGCAGCTTAGCACCAAAGTATTTGGTAAGTGCCTTAACCAGTAATTCTTGGTAGATCTCGGACCCTATAAAAAGGCAAGTTGTTTTTACATGCATGCAGCAACAAAAGTTTTTAATTGGCAATGTGGTGATCATATAGAGCAAGAGCAAATACCTGCTGGACCAGATAATAGTACCCTTTTACAAAGAGAAGATATGTCCTTTGTCCACTTGGTGGATTCCTTGCAGCATAGGTTTACATATGCTGATGACAGGAGAACATTTTTGGTATTTTCACTGCAAGGATGAGAAGCTACTAAGAGATAGTTCATAACTACAGGATACCAATCAATCAACAGGCCATTAGCTTCAAGGGTGACATACTTGGGTAATCGGTATTTACCAGCCCTATTCAGTGCTACCGATTCATTACTAGTTAAACAGCATTATTTAGAGATAAGAATTACAGATGCACTTGGATGCAGGATTTGAAATGCGAAGATAAATTTTAGTTAGTATAAATAATCAAAAGAAATACAGCTCGACAGCAATATTACTCTTCAGTAACCAGTAGTACTGCATCATTGTAATTATGCCATGTTATTGCATTAACAAAAAAAAAATGTGGTGTTGCAAATTCATACATTATGATGTTACTTAATGAACTGCGACATAAAAAATGCATAATGTACTGATATAACAGAAAGAGCTGCTGAAATGTGAGTGCATACCTAAGATAATATGGAAAATTATCAAACGACTCTGATATATCACTTGCACTTATAGCTGCTTTCTTCAAATCATCCTTCAAAAGTTGGTGTCGACCAACTGTCATATTTTCTTCAGAAGGGCAGTAGCTCTGTTCCCCCATAGTCTTACATAAACTGCTGACTATCTCCTTATCTGTCCAAGACCAAACAGTAGATTTCACCTTAAAATTGTGATTCCATTTTAGTGCAGTGCATCATTGCCCAACAAATAAGGCTAAGAGCATCTCGAAGAGGCTCTCTACATGGCTCTTTACCACACAAATTAGAAAACAAACCAAAAAAAGATGCTCCAATAGACTCTCTAAATCACTCTCCAAGTCTCCATCTTTTCCACTCTCCAAAACCACCCTTCTCGCTCTCCACTTTTGGGAAAGGTACATGGCTCTCTAAATGCAATATATGGTAGTTTTCTTATGAATTTTTTCACACAAAAATATGATAAGCTATTGGAGTATACTAGAGAATAAAAAAAAATTCTCGAACACGCAGGAGAGCTGCGTATCATTGTATTAGTAGAAGAAAAAGGAGTCATACATACAAAAATTGGAGAATCTGTTGGAGGCACGAGAGAATATTCATTGAATGGTTCTCCAAATAAAGATATAGAGATTGAATTTATAGAGGCTCTTGGAGTTGCTCTATGGATGCATAGAAATTCCATTCCCTAGACCCCATCTTGTGTGGGAGCTTTCAACACTAGGTTTTTAGTGCAGTGAAATTAAAATGTATCACAGATTTTCAATTGCTGGCTAACTCCTAATTTGTTCAAGATCAAACGGCAGAGTTTGACTTGAAACTATCTCTCATTTAGAGCAGTGCAATTAAAAATATCACAAAATCTTGAAAAGCGTGGAACTAGGAAACATAAATAGATACTTAAAATTATCTTGAATGGCACATGCTACATGGGATCGATGGCAAAATAAAGCTGATATATTATAAGGCTCAGTGGCTCACCATGAGGAACCAGTGGAGGTCGGCCATTTCCAAAGTTAAATGGTGTTGATATTTTGGTTCCTTTAGACGACAAATGATCCAGTGTGCCTTTGACAGCTGGATATTGTTCTTGTTGGATGACACATTTTGAACACAAAGATGATGTGCTTGCTTTTTCCTCCGGAAGTTGCTCAAATATCTGCCAGCACATTAAGGAATTTCGTATCCAAATGGATGTTTGTATACACCATCAAGAATATTAACGGCAAGCTTCCAACAAGGGAAATAGATCTCAGAGAAGCACAGAAGAAAGTAGCTGGTGGTAGGAAAGGATACATAAGCATGCCTCCCAAGAGAAACAAAAATGACTTCATCACCACCGGTGATGGTGACTTTAGCAGCTTTGTCCAAGGCCTTCCCATTGACATGGACAACTTTGTTCATGTAGATCTCAAGGGCAGCACCCCTCTGGTACAAAAGGTCATCACTGAGAGTCAAAAACTCAGAATACAGACAAGAGTAGTAGGATATGTGCAAAGAAACACAAGGAAAAGTGTACCTTAACATGCTTCAGTTTGCAAATAAGTGACCCAGGAGATGTCTCGGTGAGTTTCAAGTCACACTTTCCGCCATGGCCAATAGTGAAATGAGCAGGATAAATTGGAATTGAGGGATACTGAAATGGCAGAGAATTAAAACAACGAATTATAACTCCACAGCACACACTAACATGGTAGATAAATGGGATTCTGCCGATGTGAAAAAAAGAAACGATTCCGTCTCTTAAGAGGCAAGGTTGGATAGCCTCTTCCCACCACCATCATTCATCAACCAGACAACCACTATGACATGTGTATGGTGAACAAGCACTAATTAGTCTGAGAGCTAGGCATCTTTTCTACCCCACCCATCCCACTTGACAATTTTCGTCTATGAAAAGTACTAGGGGAATATGACGTAAATTCAGGTTGCAGGGCTGCCGCCGTTAAAAATGAATGTGTACTATTTAGACCTTTTACAAATTGTGAGGTGAAAATCTTCTGCAACATAAACAGTGGGCCAGCAGGGTAAATGGACTAATGGAGAATGCAGGACACAAGGAGCTTGCCATAGCTAAAGTTGACTATGACCCAAACAAACAATAATAGAATGATGATGATTGATAAAATACCAGCCAATTACAAGAATATATAACGTGCATTCAGGTATAGGTACCATAATGCCAGGAGATACAGATAGCGTACACTTGAAAGGAGCATAAGAGCATTATACTTCAAACTACACCATGTTATCAAAGTTTGACAAGATACAATAACAATGCAGCACATAATGGTTTCATGTTGCCACCTGACCTCATGCATGATGTAATACAGCACACCAATCTACATTAGCTCTAGTAGCCAGTTGAGATATTTTGCTCATTCAGAAACAAAGCTTTAGGAATGGAATTGCAAAGCAACTCAACAACTTACAAAAAAAATTGTGATTTCAGTCCAATATTTGTTTCAGGATGAAATGGTTTAAGAGTAACCTAAATGTGTTCACTAGATAGTTGTTGGCATTGCAGTGCAGTGCAGTGCAGTACAGTACATGATGATTTGGCTACAGATGTTCAGTTCTCCACTCAATAAATTACAGTATTGCCTGATGCTTGACTATCGCCTAATAATGGGCTAATGATTAAGTCCTTTTTACTTAATCTCAAAAGATGATCAAAGCATGTGAGACATATCATTTCCACTGTTCCAAGAGTTGAATAAGCAACCAAACCAAACGAAACCAACCTCAGAAGACTGGGAAATCAATCTACCCCAGGCCTCAGCGCGGCCACTGGCGGGCCGCGCCTTCCAGAGCGTCCCCTCGTCCGTCGGGAACGCCCTCACCGGCCGATTCTTCTTCCTCCTTCCTGGAAACCAAGAAACCAACCGGATCAAGAACGGCCACCAACCAAACCCAACCGTAAAGATACATCGAGTCGAGGCGGCACAACAATCGAGGCGGCGCGGCCAGGCGGAAACCCCCACGCACCTTCGGAATTGGAGACGGTGGAGGACGCGGCGACGTTGACGGCCGGCGGCCTCGCCACGCCCTGCAGGTTCTCGACGGAGCTGTCGAGCACGTCGACCGCGGCCGGGTCCACCGCCTTGTCGCCGGGTTCCTCCACCCGCGCAACCTGGCACGCAAAAGCAGCGGCGGCGGCGTCAGATCAATCAATCCGTCCGTGGCCCCCACAGAAACCCCGCACGAATGGACGAACAAGCGCCGTACCGCGACCTTGGCGCGCTTGCCCGATCGGCTCCGGGACGACGGCGGGGGCGGGGTCGACGCGGGCTCCGCCGGCGCGCCCGCCGTCGTGGGGGACGCCGCGGCCTCCGCCTGCGTCGGCGGTGGCGGCGCTGGCGAGGACTCCTCGGCCGGGCCCCGGCGCTTGGCCGCGGAGCTCCGCCTGGTGTCGACCATCGCGCGGCGGCACGAGGGAAAGGGGGCGGGCGGGCGCGGGTCTGCCCCTCGGCCCCGGATCGGAGACGCAAACGAAGTCGGAGCGGCCGGCGCGGGGAGGGGGCTGGAATGTAATTTCTCTTCTCGGCGACGGGGACGGGCGAGATGCCGGGCGCGGGCTCCTCCCTCACCCTCCTCCTGCCTCTTCCGTTTACGGAACGCGCAGCAACAAAGGTAGGTGCGATGCCGATGCGCAGCGCGGGGTGGGGGGCGCCCTGCTTATATACTCCCGCCCGGACGGAATCGATCCGCGGCGCGGCGGCTCACGCCGAGTTGTTATCCCCCCACGGCTCGGAATCGGAGGGGAACGGAGAAGCAGGAGGAGAGAGAAGGGAGGGACGTGCGGGCCCCCACCTGCTTTTCTGCTGCTGGGGCCTCGTTTAGATGCTGAAAAAATTTCAACCCGATGAATAAATCTGGCTTTCGTCTTATTTGCCCCACAACTGCTTTCATCTGCTGCTGGGTTGTTTAAGCGGCGCAGCCTTTTGGGCCGCTGCCGACTTGCCTGCCACTCCAGAGGGCAAAGGTGAGGTGAGCTGTCCTGTGGAGGCCTGGACTGGACCGGTGGGCCCGGAGGGCGAGGTGGACTGGCACTGCTGCCGTGCGTGCGCGCTGGCCGCTGGGCAGTCGCCGTGGCCCGTGGGCTGTGGCTGGGTGCGTGAACGACAACGAAACGAACGGTGGTGGCTGGCGTGGTTTCGGTGCGCGCTGTAGAAACGGAGGCGCCGACCGCGCTAGTTGGGGTTGGGATCGGCAGAAACGACGGTGGTCCGCTGCCGCTTTCACTCATCTACTCGGGCAGCCGGGGAGATGGGACGGTTTCTTTGGATGCATGCATCTCCCCGTCTCCACCTTTCTTCGTCACGATACATACAGGGATTTGATTACGCGCGTGTGTCTTGTTAGGCGAATGTTTATCCGTCCAACAGTAACAGAGTACTAGGTAGTACAATCTTCCCAGCGTGGGAGGACTTTTTCCACGCACGAAAACCACAATTCCACTTTGGCGGTCGAACGATTCAGTATTCGGCTTCGACACGTTGTAGATGTGTCTGCTGATGTCATTAAAAAAAGTAAAATATTTATTTCAAATTGCCTTAATGGAGTATCTATTTTAAATTCCCGTCTGCACATATGTGTTCTATGCGACGAAGCGAACAAAACTAAACTTCATTTGAATATGTTTCGAAGAATTTTTCTCTAGTACAATTTACGTGTGCTAAGTACTTATAACATATAAGTTATAACATATAACTTAAGTAAGTTGTATAGAATAATTTATCATAATAACTTATGTAGATAAGTTGTATAAAACAACTTTATGTACAGAAGTTGTGTTGGTAACTTTTGTACATAAATTGTGTTTTATAACTTTTGTGTTTTTAAGTTTTGCATCTAAAATACAAATTCGATTAGGAGTACGTAGTCGCGAAGCAAAATTTTGCATTGGATTAAGTATTCCGATAAGTATTCCGATTGAATAAATATGAGTAAAGGATCTATGGATGAAGATACAAAAAAGTTTATTTCCAATCGTAACTAACTTTTCGAGGAATCCTTCATTGGTGGGACTTGCCATGGTAGGGGAAGAAGGGGAAGAAGCACACTTGAAGAGCCAGTACAACGATATAAGTTATAAGTTAGTTCGTTCCTTTGTGCATTAATAACTTTTGTGTTCGTAAGTTTTGGCATAAGTTATAAGTTTAATTTGTTCCTTTGTGTTTAATAACTTGTGTACATAAGTTTTTCTATACAACTTATTTACATAAGTTATTCTATACAATTGTATACTTAAGTTATTATGATAAGTTATATGTTATAAGTTAATACATATAAATTGCTATTAGAATAAAAATTTTCAAAACATAAGCAAGCGGGATCTAGTTTTGTTCGTCTCATCGTGTACAAAACAATGGAATTGAAAATGAATACACCGTTTAGAAGTTATAGGAATTTTAAATAAATGTTTTAGTTTTTTCTAGTTGTGTTAAGGTTGACATCAGCATGCAGAGGAGGAGCGCATGCGCAGCCGAGCAACCAAAAGAGATGAGCATGCATGGTTGAGCACGTGCCGTCCATAATAGGAAAGAGATGTAATTTTTTTCCAAAAAGAAAGCTACACTGTGTCGGAATTTTGTTCGCGGGATTCGAAACTAATGATCTTTCGCGAATTATCCTCATCGCACAAAAACATAGTTGTCAATTGACACGTCATCTATCACTAGAAAATAATACCGTTAAATTCTAGAAAAATACAAACACTTCGAGTCAAGTCAAAACTTAAAGATTGATGGACAGATAGCCAACTTTAAAGAACTTTGATGATGATTGTTTCACAATCGAGTGCGGCTCAAGCTTTTACGCACAACTCCCAACAAACTATGTTACATATTTTATTCACGGGGAATTGTATTTGTTTTCTGCATCAGCTATAGTCATTAAGAGCAACCTCACAAGATTTAAACATCCCCTTTCCCTAAAATGTCAATATAGAAGATTTACAAAACAAAATAAAGAGAAAAAGGGAATGTTTGTTGGAGTACGCTGATAAAAGCTCCCCCCCCCCATTCTCTATTTGTTGACATATGCGACCTATATATCAACAAATGAAGAATGGGAGGAAAGAGAAAAAATTACCTCCGAGCAAAAGTTATAAGGAAAAGAAAAAAGAGGTAGTTGTTTCATGAAGCAACTGCCACAAAGAGCAAAAATTCATAACAATGGGACAACTATTTCACCACTGTATGATTTAACATTATATTGATATACAAACTCACAAAACATTCCTTTGTTGATTGCACAAATTAAGAAAAACCAAATTACTATAAAGACAACTTAAAAGACAATCCATTTTATGAGGTAGTCGTTCAATCATCTCATGGTTATACGACACTATATGAAACCATCTACGAGATAACCCAGAAGTTGTGAGCACTTGGCAAATATATATATGGCAATCATACATGAAAATCCACAACACAGGGTGCGTAGGCTCCCTCCACTTGGCTCCACCCTTGGTTATATGAAAACCCGGTGGCCAAGTAGATGTCTCATTATGAACGCCGAACACTGATCTACTCTACTCCCTATCATTAAAGGCATGTTTGGATGGAGCCCTCCCCAAACATTCCTAGTAGATATACTAGCCTGTGATCTTTCCTAGGATATGTTGGGTAGAATCCTAAGATTATTGCCCGACTGTAGTTGCATGTACCTTCTGCTTGGTGCCAAGCCATCGAAATCGATTGCCTAGGATGTCTTGTGAGTTGCCTAGCTTCAATTAATACTCCCTAATCACTTTTCAAACTACAGAGCACACATGCAAATCTTCAACCAAACACTGCCTTCCCCTTTGACCATTCAGGCAGGTTGTGATGTTAACAACCAAATGCTACTTTAAATTCCACATCTGCCTAACTAGGCAATTTAACAACTGTGTACAGTCCACAAGCAGATCTTAAGTCCAGGCAACTTATCTAAGGCTTAAACCAAACAAGCCCTAAGTTCATGAGTGCATCACGTCTTGTGCCTTTTTATTATGTGAACGGTGAAAGTGTATCCTTTTGCTAGATGGGTTAAAAAAAACAACGGTTTCGATTCCTTACATTCTATGCACGATAAATCTACTTTCTTATCCAATGGATAAATAGATGTCTCGCCTTGTCTTCCACGTGTAGATTGATCAAACCTAACTTCACAAGTGTGTTGTGTCTTCTTCCTTTTGCAGCCCCGGCCTAGTACCTAGATCTACCCCTATCGCTAGGGGCTCGGGCTAGGGTCGCTAGCCATAGCCTAGGGCAAGGCCAATGCCAGGTTCAAGCTCCCTAGTGTCGAGTTTTACCACTTAACACCCTCATTTTCACTATATACTTTGATAAGATTGTGTAGAGTACTTAGACGTTGCACTAGGGATAAATTCACATGCAAGGGTGGCCATATGGAGTGCTAAGCCAGATGGGGGCGATGGCTAGTGAGAGGCTAGGGAAGACCAAACTATTGGAGTAGAAGTAGGATCAAGCAAGGACGTTTGGCATAGCGATGAAAGGCGGCGCCACGGAGAATCAAGCAGTCATGCTTGAGTTTGGAGTCAGGTCAATGCCATAGAGGTCATGACTTTGCGCAAAATGTAAGAGTGGATGTTGGGCCTTGGGTGGGGCAAGGTCTTGCAAACCTCGTATTCATAAACTAAATCTCAAGGGGTATCCATGTTTTGGGGGGCTAGTCCCGGGATGTATCTCCCAAGCCTAGGGCCTAGGTCCCCTAAAAAGCCCGAGGGCCTAGATCCGTTCCTGAATTCATTTTATATACATAATAAACATGTTTTCTTATCATTTTTGGGGGGAACATCCTGTTTTCTTATCCGATGGACGAGCAATGCTTTCTCATAGGCATTTAACGTCAATAACTTCTCTTGTACATATATCAACCTATTACAAGGCCGTCATGTGATAGAACCATCTAATTTATAAGAGCACAAGTACAATGGCAGCCCACAAGCGGTCGCACTATCATACTTGAGCCTATATAAACCCGGTAGTCCGTCGAGTACCACGAAGGGTCTCGATTCATCGCCAACATACAACCAAGATCGTACATGATTCAACATACATGCCACATGTTACATAAGGTTCACAAATACATTGCCATACATCAGAGTGCGGCTTACATTTAGTACAACCCAAGTTCCTAATATAGTAGTAGTAGCGGAATCAAAGTAGTTTTAAAACCAACATCTCACACCATTGTTTAATACATGCCAGTTCATGATACCACCCACAAAAGCATCATAGATAAGATATATAAGTAGAAGCGCCTTGCCCGGGGCCTACTCCTCTTCCACAGCGGGACAGAAGCAATTCTTACAATAGACATGAAAGACTGTGTTATCTGCAACAAGTGAGAAATAAACCCTGAGTATAAAAAGGTATTCAACTAGACTTACCCATCATAAACAAAAAATA